GGGTAGATTTTGAGGATCTGCTAATTAAAGCTGATTGGATGGATTTTGTGACAAGATAAAAATCATGTGATCTAAAAAATAACTTTTTAGTTTATTACATTGTAATATTTTCAAATAATCTATGCATAATATCAACAGAAAATGAATTTGAAAATTCAATAAACTTAAATTCAATTATATAGTGATCTACTCATATTCTTTATGATACTAATATTATATATATAATCTTCATGTATTCATAATGGAAAACTTTTAGGATCATAGTGATTTCTTTGAATATCAGTTGGAAATTTAAGTGAAAAAATATATATACTAATTTCCTTAATGACATATTTTACGAATTAAACAAAAACAGCATATTCTATATAAATTATGTCCTATTATACACATAATTTTAGCAAGTATTGAAATGTTACCAGACTAACTTATAATATTTGCATAAAGAATAAACATACTTTCTATTAAACTATCAAAACATGAACATTTTCTTGCAATTGTTTTAATTCGTTAACTAATAGTTTTAAAAAAATAAAGTTTTTTAGTGCTTTTGATCCTGAAAAAAATGCAGAAATCATTAGATTTTCATATTGAATACATATATCGGGCAGTAAATTTGCATTGATTAAAAGACAATTCAGCAATTATCTCTTTTTAACAAAAAATCTGATATCCATCAGTTGATACTATTAATGTAATATCCTGATGATCTGAAAAAATTTAGAAAAACCAAAGTTTTGTAATAAAGTTCATCAAAAACATTTTCTATTTGATTGTCAATAGTATAATTATTAGTTAAAGTATAATTATACTGATAAGAAAGAGATTTTACATAATTCTATCTATATATTATATACAAAGTAAATTTATAGGTGACTAATAAATAGCATATTTTTGAGTAATCGTATCAGCAGCAGATTTATAACGAGACACTTCACAATTTGAATAAGTAACTTTGTTAATGAGCTCACTAGTGAATGCTACACATGAATTATAGCAACAATATACAAAAATTAGTTCTAATAGAACAATATTTTTAGAAGCTTATGAAGTTTAAAAAGAAATATTTTAGGAATGTTTAGAGCTTTAAGAATTTTATCAAATGCAACTTCTAAAATATTATGTTCAACTTTAATTTTAAAAGATGTAATCTTTTAATTAAACTTCTGCAATTTCTTTATTATATATCATATTATTATTATTACTATTTTCATTATCATCTCTTTTAATATCATTACTTTTAATTTTCATCTCTTTCACTATGTTCATCCTTTTTATTCTCTAATATATTAATTAGATCCTCATTAAATAATTCATCATATAAATCTTATTCATTATAATTATCCTCACTATCTAATATTTTGATAGGATTTTTATTGAATAATCTTGTTCATTATAATCATCTTTTACACTACCAATTAAATTCTCATTAAATAATTTAACACTCGTTCATTATTATTATTTTTTTCATTATTTGATATTTTAATCAGATTTCATTAGATAATTCAATATTGTGATTTTCTTCATTTTGATTTATTATCAAAGTATTAGAAGAATAATCAGAAGTTACTAAGTATTTTTGTGATATAGGCATATTATTTTGTTCAATCCAAGTATTTTTTTGCTTTTTCATATTTTGTATGAATTACTTAACTAACTATTTTTTCTTGACCATTTGATTTTTGTAAGCATCAAACACAAATACAAAGAAATTAATCTACTATTTTTCTTTTTAAAAAAATTTATATTCCAAAAATATTTATTAATTTATATTAGTATAGTTATACAGCAAATTATAATTTTATAATAACAAGAGTTAAATATAAAAATAAAAAAAAACTACTTAAATTGTATATAAAAGTTTATTAGTATTGAATTGATTATTAATATTATTAATGTTAATATTAAAATATTAAATTAAAAGTAAAGTTTAATTAAAGTATCAAATTGATTACTACTAATGTTAATATTAAAATATTAAATTAAAGTTTAATTATAAAATACTGTATTATTAAATAGATAACGTAAGCAGTTTATAATACTTTAATAAATAATATAAAATAAATATCATTTCTTTTTTATATAATGCATTGTTAATGTATAATATATAGTTTCTTAATAAATTTTTTGTGTTATAATAGATTAAACTTATCTAATTGAAATATCAACTTTTTTATTTTTTTTAGAATTTTTTAAAATTAAAATTTAATTAAATGATTAATAACATAAAATTTTCATTAAATATACTTGATGACTTAATAAGTAAATAAAAAAAAAGAATATCAAATTTTGTTAGTTATTTATCATAATATTGCTATTCAAATTTATCTAATTAATCAGATTAGTTTATTTAATTATTTTAATATATTTTTAATATCTTTTTATATTTGATGGAAAGGTAGTAAATATTATATTAATAATATAACTTTTAATTATTTATTTATATCATAAGGAGTATATATATACAAATTTTTATAGATTATTAACACTTATTCATTATATTATGAATAAAAATATTTTTCTGATTACTTTTTATCAGCACTATATATATTATATATAGTTTTTGATTAAAAAACTAAAATACTCTTCTGATTAAATTTCTCAAGTAGTTTTACAAATCTAAGGTGAATTTGTAAAAAATCTGAAATAGATTAGTCAGTGTTTTACAGTAATTTGATTATTATAAAAATAAAAATAAAAATAATTATTTTAAGTAAATTATCATAATTAATTTTTTTGTTACTTTTACTTTATTATTAGTTAATTTATATTTATATTTAAATTTTTAATTATTTTAAAATTAATATAATTAATATAATATTATTTCTTTCTTTTCAACTTTAATAATAATATAATTGTATTATTATTAAAGATAGCCCCTTAACCTATTTTCAAAAATAGTTGTGGTTGTAACCTATATAAAAATATACAGTTGCAGGTTGTGGGTTGTGATCTTTAATTATTATTAATTATAAAATTTAATTTTAAACTTATATTATTAAAAAAATATGTTTTTAAATGCTTATTATATATATATAAAAAATATAAAATATATATTTCATAGTAAACTAAAACTACGTTAAAATTAATGTATATATCTTAACCATCAAATTTTATTGGTCAGTTTTTGTATTACCTTGAAACCTGATTTCTTCCTCGAAAACGATTTCGATATCTCGAGATATTTCTTCAACAATGGCAAGTAATTTATTAATCTTTTAAGTCAATAAATTGATAAATTTGCCTTTATAAGTGACAATTTTTGTGTTTTTTTCCAGTTGTTTTAAGAAACTTTTGTTTTTAATTTAGAGTTTACAAATTACACCTGCTATCGAAAAACAAAAAGGTATACCAAAAATTTGGTTTTTCTATTCCCTTATTTTGTTTCTCAAACATTTCTTTTATAGCTCACAAAGCACCAATATGGGCGGTTCGCTGGTCACCAACCGGCAATGTGGTTGCTTCCGGAGGTTTAGACAATGAAATCAAAATCTGGTTTGCACTAATTTTCTTGTTACGTGTAAACTTATAATAAAACAAATATAAAGATTCTCTCTGTGTTTTAATCAGGGATGCAGAAACTGGAGAATATTATCGTACTCTTGAGGGACATATATTAGCTATTACGGGTTTAGATATTAATGTAACAGGCGAAGGTAAGTAATATAATTAAAACTATTTTTTTTTTTTCAATGATTTTAAATTTTTTTTAATTTTAGCTCTCATCTCAATTTCATTCGATAATACTATTAAAAGATGGAGTATATTAGACGGTGCTTTGATAAATGACATAGAAACCAAACCGGGTACATTAATATATTATAATAACTTCTATTTGTAAAAAAAAAAAAATAACTTGACTTACTTTATTTGTAGGGAAAGTCTGTTGTGGACAATATACTAAAGATGGAAATTACTTCGCCACTGCATCACAACAGGGAACTATTGATCTCAGAAAAGATTCTGATCTTGAAGAAATCATCAGAACTTATACTTCTGAGGGAAAATATGGTTTATGTTGCCGTTTTGTATCCTTCCGTTATTCTTTTTTTATTCTTTTTTTTTCGTTTTCTTTTTTTTTTTCTTAACTATTTTATGCGGGGTGTTCTAAAGAGTCCTGATAACACTGTTCTGGCGCTTGGCACTGATAACGATAAAATTTATTTGTTCGATGTTGAAAGTGCGAGAATGGTTCATAAATTGACTGGACATTCAGGAAATCCTATACGTTCTTTGGATTTTACTTCGGATGGAAAACATCTAATTTCTGGATCTGACGACGAAACCATTAATATTTATGATGTGTATATATTTTCATTAAATTTTTGTATGATATATTTATTATTATAATTTTAATAAGGTTTTAATAAAATTTTCTAGGAAACATGGTAATCAAATATCAAAATGTACTGGTCACGAAGGATATGTTATGTGTGTTGCAGCTGCCAGTGATAATAAACATTTTGTAAGCGGGTAAGTGTAAGTAATTTAAATAAATTTTTTTACGCAAATTATTTATTTAATTTTTTATCATTAGATCAACCGATTGTAAGATTAAATTATGGCAACTTCCTGAAAAAAATGAGAAAGCGCAACTTGTTGAAACAATTGAAGAGCATAAAGAAGCGGTAAAAATTTTTAAAAAACTTTATTATTACACAATCTAAATACTAAAACTTTTTTGTTTTAAAATAACAAAGGTTTCTTGTATTTCATGGAATCCAGATGGTAATAAGTTTGTAGTTGGTACTGATAATTTTTTACTGAAATGGTATACTGCTATTTAAAAACAATAAAGGTAAGTAAATTTATTTGCGCAACTAAAAGATAATGTGTAACAATTAATTAATAATACTATGATACAAATTAACATGTAATTATTTTATTAATCAATTATATTTATGTTATATTAATACTAATTAAAACCAGTTTAAGATACACACGCCTTTATATCTTATTTGTTGGTTAGGATTTTCTTAATGATGCGCATCTATATTATATTGAATTAACTCTATGGTTCAAAATTTGAGACGTTCAATGCTAAAAAAATAGATCAATAGATCAAATTTCATTTTTTGAAGTTTATCTTTAATTGTACCAGAATTTAAAATTTCATTATAAAATCTACAATGGTTATAAATGTTTGCTATCAAGGACTTTTTTTTTCTTCTTTCACAAATAAGTACATAGTTAATGCCTCAATTCAGTATGTATATAAATTATCCTGATAATCT